TGAGTTTGTGTTAAGCTCATGTTACTTACCCTTTCATTCGATATTGAAACACATACATAGACCTATTACATATACACCGTCAGAGTGCATATCTGTTTGGAAGGGATAAGACTGTAGTGGATATTCCTCTGGACCATCCTTCAAGTTCGAAACAGCACGCGGTGATACAGTGTACGTGCTTTCATCTGCATTCTTCGGTATCTTAGTCTAATTTGCATCATCATACAGACCGACAGATCACGGAGAAAAATGAATACGGTGAACAGAAGCGTGTAATCAAGTAAGTGGTGGAACCACCAATAGCTTTTCGATTCCGTCTAATCCCCTCCTTCCTGTTTCCCTTAGACCCTTTATCATAGATCTCGAGTCAACGAACGGAACTCACGTCAACGGAGAGCAAATTCCAGAATCACGGTACTACGAACTCAAGCTCAGCGACAGTAAGTCAATAAGCTCAGCACCCTTCCACTCTACGCAAGGAACTACTGAATACTGATTGACACCTGTTTCATTTTTCTTTCATAGTCATCAAGTTCGGAGAGTCTAACCGTGAATATGTTCTTCTCTCTGAAGATGCTGCTTAAATCCCTTGCTCCATTCGTACCATTCTACCCAAGTTCCTGTCATACACATCACCGCATCTCGCAGATCACCCCCGATGGTTCCAGCGATTCTCATGCATCATCTATTCCATTTTTTCTGTATCACTAGTCTGACTTCTCCATGCGAATCGCAGTGTCCCTGGATCTCATCTCAACAGCATTATTTTATATCACATTTGACATGATTGACCGTGACGACACTAAATCCAAGTATCGAGATATCGGTATTTCCCTATTGCCCAGGGGATGCCGCAAGGCACTCTAGAGTGCGTGTACGGCATGGGCTACGAGAAGTCAATCCTCTTTTCGCCTAGCATTGCCACATCTGACCACCCCTCATATGCTCTCACAGCAATGATCTTCTTGAGCCTCGAGGCACGTCCTAACGTTCCTGTGAGAAAAGACTGGCCAAAGTCTCAGCGTCAGTGCACTGCATCAACGTGCATCCCCACTAATTGACCTCAATAGACATTCATACTCCAGACCCTTTTAGACTTTTTCTCCCGTCACAACCTCTTCACATATGAGGAGAAACGCACCTCAACCACGCCCCGAGGAGCATCATTGCCTATCCTTGGTCTTCTTGATATTTCTCATATACCGCTTCCCCGTTCTACGCTCTTACATAACGGTATGTGGTCAGACGGTGGTTGCGTAACTACCGGCGGTCTATCGTCTCCCGGTCCTGCGAGAGTGTGCTGACATACGTATATATTTTCAGTCGGACGCAACCGCTTGCCTTAGGCAGGCAGTGCGGTACTCTGGTATTTGACTGCATTTTCACCATCACTGCAGTATGACACTTTGGATGATATGTAGGAGACATCTTGAAGGTCTCCCATGTCCTAGCTTAGTCGGTGTACAACAAGTAGCGGGCCCTATGGAGGGTTGATTCTATTCGACCCTCGGAGAATATAGACGAACATTCGAATTAGGGATGACCAAGTACCCTATTCTTCACTGACCAATCCCCATTTCCTGGTTCCACAACACCTTTCTCTTCATAGTCCAATTCCTCATCCTCGGCAGAGGAATCCGCATCCAAACATCGGAGCGCGCGATGCTTCTCATCCATACATAAAAGTTAATTGAACGCCGCTACAGAAACCGCTCTAGCAGCTAATTGAAGTCGATCATTTTCTCGGCTCATAGGAACCGGAAATCTCATTCATTCCCTCCCTCAGATCTCCAAGGAGTGTATCTCCGGCGGGCGCAGTCCAACCTCAAAGGGAATTCGAGGGTTAGGGTAACTCTACGTAGGGTCACGATGAGAGAAGCTCCGAATCGATAACGATCAGAATTCGCATGCATTTTTACCTTCCCTCATGATGACCAGGAACACATCCCGAGGTCGTTCTTCTCTAGCTGGGGGACAATGGCGAACGTCGAGAGACACAATGGGCACAAGAAATTTCATGATTACAAGCACCGTTGCTTTGAACACCAATTTTTGATGGATTATCAAAGCGCCCCTCCAAAGCACTTCCGCTTCCCCTTGAAAGCCTGAACCCTTGTAATAACGAAAGACGATGATGAGATGTCGAGTTCGTCGTAGCGCACGACAGGCGGGGGGACAGTGATCAGAGCGTCTGCAAGTCGTCTACAAGTCTCCCCAGCCCTCCTCACATGCACGCACGACCGGGGACTGCCAGCAGAAGGCATCCCAACACTGCAATTGATCTGATAAACGTAACGCTGATTCTCGAATTCAAAGGGCCAGGTGGCTGTGCTTCATGGCACTTGGACACCGGTGCCGCAGGAGCTTCCGTTTTCGGTAATCAACCCGACCCATTGTTCGCCTCTTGTGGCGCGCGTTATGTTATTGTCGTAGGGTAATTTCCGGGGCTAGTATGTCTCTCTTGCATCAGGGAACGTGGAGACGAAGATCTATCATCTCCGTCCTTTATTCTGTCTTTGAGCCCTTGCGAGTATGCCCTGGATGTATGATTCTGTTCGTGAGGCGTATTTGTACTCTACGCGTTCCGATTCCCGGGGGAGCTCTTTTAGCGGAATGGCTCCAGCGTGCAAATAGTAGGGAGGGCCGTAGGATAAGACAAGGACACAGCTGTGAAGCAGGATTGACCTGCCTTGAATATCACATCCGTTGCTTTGGCATATGCCGTCCTCTCACGCAATGACCCTTCAGCTTTGTACGAAAAGCAAAGGGGTCGAGATTGGATATCGAATAGCAGGACCTTAAACAAAAGCAATGATATGGAGATAGACTGTTTATTCCAGTTGAAGTAGCCAGGGAATACAATCGTACAGTCGTACAGAGAGAAAGAGGAGAGAGAGGAGAGAGAGAGAAGGAGAAAAAGTAATCAGGGGAGACCAAAAGTAATCAGAGGCTCGGGAGCTTAGGAAGTAAAGGTATAACGATACAAAGGTATAAAGGGGGAGGGTGAAGTGTCCGAGAGGAGAGATAAGTAGGGTACATTATGGAAAGCGACTTGAGCGAGAAATGAGTAATAGTGTGACCAGGCAAGGAAAGAGATCGAGACCGAGACTTGTAGAAAAATTGTGACGAGAGGGAAGAGATATGAGATCCAGATGCGTTGGTAGTGCGTGAAACATAGAGTTCTATAAACCAGTGAGCAACTAGTAATGTAGTCAACAGAGAAAACTATTCACCTGTCGTGACGATCGTCAGGCTTCTTATACAAGAAGCATATCCTTTAGTTGAGGCGAGCATGATCTTCATTATCCGTCGCATTTTTCAAATGCCTAGTCAAAGAATCGCCTCTGCTGAAGAGTTTCCCGCAACCTTCAATCATCCTTCGGGTACCAGGAATAACCAGGTGACCAATACACTGGTGAATCCTCTCTCCGGTATGGGTCCCAATATGTCTCCGTAGATCTTGAGAACGCGCCATAGCCTTATGACACAGCGGGCAAGTAGTAATGCGACGCTGGAGGGAGTGAATAGTAGCGTCGACCACGTCGGCGTCGAATTCCGGGTTGCGGCGAGCAGTAGTCCTCTCCCGGGGAGCTCCATACGGAGAAGCTGCACTGCGACGGCTCCTGCGGTTCTCGATAGAGGGAGAAGGGGTCCTAGAAGAACTTGCCTGGGAGTAGGAAGAGGAGGGATAGTTGTTTCGCTTGGATGAGGGGGTTGCCCTTGCCTTGCCCTTAGGCGTAGCCTTAGCCTTAGCCTTGGAACTCGAGGCAGCCTTTGGACCACGACGGCTGGAGGAGGAAGGGTTGTATTCGTCGTCGTCGTCGTCGTCGCTACTGAAATCCGAGTCGAACTTGTAGTCAGTATCATCATCCCCCTCTGAGGAAGTGATAGAAGAGGTGGGTGAAGGAGGGTAGACCTCGGGTGTGAAAGAGGAGAAGGAAGGATGTTGAAGAGCGAGACTGTTGGTGAGGTTGTCAGACAACTGGTCGACTGGTTCTGGCCCGAGAGGAAGGGAAGCGAGGTTGGAGCTGTCGAAGTAGTTGTTGATAGGTGAAGAAGGGATGTAAGGAGGATCGAAGATGTCCCTCGGACTAGCAGTACTACAACGTTGTTAGATGTTAGGATGTTAGGGAGGTAACAAAGGACATACGGAGGGGAGTCTAAGAGAGTATATGACTCGTGAGGGAACATGCTCAACATGTCGGGATTGGACAAGGGACTGTCCGACAAGGAGGAGGAAGAGTCGTAGTCGCTGTCGAAGGTGTACATGTAGTCGATGAGGCTCATGGTGGATGATGATGGGGATATATGAAAGAAGAGTGTTTCGGGGGGTGGTAGGTTAATACGAACGGGGCGGGATGGGGAGGAGGAGGGGCCATGCTCGGGGGGTATATATACCAGAGTCCGAGCAGGTCATTGAACAAGTCCATGCTGTGGTAACTGGACAAGAGACGCCTGTGTGATTGACTGTGAAGTCTGCCCATGAGATCGAGGGAGGGCAGATCCTGCCAGGAGTAGACTCCGTGGGACATTTACCCAACTTTAAAAGCACGGTGAGGAAGGCTTGGGCGCTCGACACTAAACATGAGGTGGGAGGCTTGTTCTTTCTGACCGACCGGCCTTCTTCCGAACATCACATCGCTAGCCGGGCGGTCCCATCGTGCAGAGATTCAGAGAGATTCGCATCTGTATTAGGACGTGAGCATGCAGGAAATGTGAATTACAGGAGACGAACTGATCCACGTACCTGGTTCGCCTCCTGCCTGTAATCATGTCCCTGGCTTCATCAGTTTGGACCACCGCGGGAGTTATATCAGCAGCTCAGGGAGGACAAATGTCTGAGGAATAAGGGATGCCGTGAGCAAAGACCTGAACTTTCTTGAGTTGAGGTCATGGCAATCAGTAGCAAAGTTGTTGCATCCGGTTCTGTAGCCTTGACCCTGCAGTACAGTAGAACATTACATGAAGGCGTCCAGTAGGACTAGACCACCTACCCAACATCCGATATGGTGTAACGGCTAACATTACCGCCTTTCACTCCTCGTCTCCTTGATGAGTTCGCGGTAGCTCGGGGTTCGATTCCCCGTATCGGAGCTTTTTGCTTGCTTCAACCTCGCATCTTTACACAGAAATTCACACTCAATACATTCATGCAAGCAAATTTCAAGCGTAATATAAGTATTTCCGTGCAATAAGAGTATGTGTTAATGCAATGGGACGTGTAAACAAAAGTGATACGTGGTGGCTGGTGCGATCTTAGAGCCTTCTTGAACGAATTCTCTTGCCAAATTGTACTGCTGGTCCTCGACTATATTGTAATCCAAGTTGGCGTTCTGTCATAGTTTAGACTATATGGACATAGTACTCACCCTCTAATTTTCTTCTTGGGTTTTGGAGGATGTGCAAAGTCCTCCGGTGCTTCGCCTAGACGATACTTCTGCATTGACCAAAGGATATACCTAGAGTCATTTCATCGTATTCATGCATTTAGACCCTGACTTCACTCCGTAGACACAGGACACAATCACTCACCTACGGTCAGTTACAGGTATGTTAGCCTTCTTCAGTGCGTTCCCATCAAGCCTCCAAAAGTCTTCCCATTTCTCGGGTGCTTCAAGCTTCGTCTCCGAGCTTCGGCCAATAGCTTTCAGGAAATCAGTCGGTGACGCTATCGAGTCTATTAATGAGAATGGCGGTCTGGTGAATACATTGCTTGTCCTGGACCATCAAATTCGACATGGCGCACCTCGAGCGGAAGGGACAGGTCTGAACTCTGCCTTGTTCACCAATGTTCGCACCAGTCGTGGCACAGAGTTTTGTATACGAGAAGAGAGAACTGAAGACATCTATATCAAGCACGCAAAGACCAGACCTTAGGATAATTACTAGTATGACGAAGTGAAGACTCGGACAGCTGAACTTGATCCAGCGCACTCGGATCGAAGGTGGTGGGAATGTTGTGGTGATCGAACCGCTCCAGGGCGCCTTCCTCATTCCGATCCTTACTTTCCCACCATGTCTACCTTTTCCATGATTTCTTGGCGGAAGTTCCGCTGCGGACGCGATGCCATGCAAGGTCCTCCCCCGCAATCCAAGTAGCACGGCATTCGGTTTGATGGAAGATTCTGACGAGTGGACTTGATTAACCTCTAGTACCCTCAAATGCGGTTAGTCGGGTACAGCCTGTCAATGCTTTACAACGTTGCAAAAGAATTGATATTCTAGAGATCCGCTTGTCCGATGATTGACCTGTTCCTTATGGTTGCATTTCCTTCAGAACGAGGGGACGCACAGCACCGGAGGGTGTACGCGTCGTTGCGTCCTGAGAGAGTCGTATTGATTGATACACAGCGTGAACAGCTCTATGCGATCAGCGTCATAGGGAATAAATGTCAGAAAAAAGGTGTTCTAAACCGAATATAACATCTTTCTAAATATGGATATCCGTCAGGTTTTTCCACTATTTCCTCCCGACTGATCATAACACCGATACCTTTCCTGGCTCCGTACAGGTGAAAGCTCCATCAGTTTACGCCAAGGAACACTCTTCCGCCGCCGGTCGAATTCACCAAAGAGGAAGACTCTGTAAATACTCTAACATCGCTTAGCCCTGTCGGCAGATGATGACATCATTTGGGGATGTATTGAAAAGTGCCGAAGTAAACCGCTTCCGCCTGTCGCTCGTATGATTGACATTCCCAGGTCTGACCCCATTCTCGCGAGGGTAATTTGAGCATGATATCTTCGTGATAGGTTTCCTTAGTTCCGAGCCTAACATTGGAGCTTGTAATGCCAGTGTTCAGCAGGGGCTACATATACCGCTCTCCATTATCGTGATAATAACTGGCGAAGCTCAGAAACCTGAACGATTTTTTCCAGTCCTTAACAGAACAACTGTTGTTCTCATGGACGAATTGAGCCGGAGGTATCCAACCTTTCTTTCAGTCGAACCATGACTCACTTCAGGACTCGGATGCATACCGCGGATTAGTGGATCTGACTATTCTCTGTATCACACTTCCTGTATCACCACTCCCTGTATCACCACTCTCTGAAACACAATCGAGATCTCCATCATTGTCGAGAAGCACCTCCGACGGAATACTTTCCAGAAAAGGCAAGACGGTAGACTCGGAAGCCCTTGGCATGCCATCCTAATTTCCTGGCTCTTTCATGCACACGATCTCCTTGATGTGGGGCCCATATTGCTTTGCAAACCGTTAATTTGCAGCAAAGGGCTGCGATGGGATCTGAATCATATGGACCCGATCTGCACATACCACCTTTCTTTGCGTCTTTCCGGGTCGATACCCCCGCAAATAGTGCATGTTAATAACATCGTTGTAAGGCTTCCAGTGTTACTCTCTACTATACAGCCCAACTGCTACAAGAAGAAGACCGCCTGCTATTTCCCGACAGAATTTATACATATGAACGCGGAGGAGCCATGTAACAACCGGTGCCTTACGGGACTAGCGTCAATCGGAAGTCGAGAGCCGCAAAGAACGATGATGATATCTAAGTTTATTATCTCTACTCTCTGAATCACATACACGAGGGTTGTGTGCGTTCGAAGCCCAATGTGAAGTGGTTGGGATATATTCGGAGATTGTGTCTCCCACCACGGGTGCGAGATCCTACATCGTTGTATCCCACGACGTCTACTTTTTTCAGGCCCACCAGTTACGGAACTACGCACACGGAGAGAGGCATGAGACCAATCGCGATGGAGTGCTAGTCGAACACCTTCGAACACCCTAGAACTCAAAGAGAGGCCAAGGTGCAGGTGATAATTGTATTCCGGATTACAAATATTAGCTCTACTAACTGGGGTATATACCATTCACCGAAATAAAACCCTGACTGCTGAGTACTGAACTCTCACAACTAGAAGACAGGTGCGTCCCTTAGGAAAAGTCTCTTCTCTTCCTTCTGAACCCATCTCGAGATCGCGTTGGCAGCATTCACTGCTGCTGATTTAGGTATAAGGGGAGACAGCGCCATATAAAGCTCGAAGGGTTGAGTGATCTACGATCCAGATGTCAGACTAAGATCGAGACCATTGAAATGAAGAGTCTAGATCGAGCTTACCCAGCCCATAACACTCTCGCGCTCTGTCCTGATATACTGCAATTTCAAGGTACTTCCCTGACCTGACTTGGCATGGATGGCATCGTGCAGTGTTTGGTACAAAGTAACCAACCGTCGACGTTCGTTGAGATCATCATAAGGGTCCTCGAACTCTGGCATGGTTATTTGCACGTGCGACCGACTCTTGTATAGGAAATGCCGAAGGCCTGGGATACCAAGGTTGGAAACACTATAGGTAGTCTTGCCCTTAATAATGGCGTCACTCATAGCGTTCATGAGGCCGTCCTTCTCGAGTTTCTACAACATACCGTCAATGACCGTGTCGTAAGATTTGACTATATGAAATGAATACCTCTGACACAGTATTACACCAGCTTCTAACGGCTTCGAAATCTGCAGCACCGCTGACACAGATCAATCCAACCTCGGCGGTCGGTGAAGGGGGCGATGGCGGAGACATGGGCGGCGAGCCATGGTCGGTCACTACAATACTAGGCGCGCGTGAGCCTGACGTTGAAGTCGGTTCAGAGGATGTCCTTGAGCTGACAGAGACGGAGGGTTTCAGCTCATCGCTAGTCTTGCGCAAGAACATTACGTAGGCATTCACGAAAGCCGATGCATTGAATTTAGGTAGGCAAATAGGGAGCCACGAAGCGGAGGCGGAAGAGTTGAGGATGGATGGTGCGTAAACGGTGTTCACGAGAACATGAAGATCTGGATATCAAGCTAAGGCAAGTAATGTGGCAGTTAAAAGACGGGTACTAACCTGAGGGGTGTATCGAATGTTTCCTAGGCCGAACCAAGGTGACAACTCGACCCTGTGCAACCAAGACCATGTATAACACGTCCTGCAGGACATAATTTCAGGAAGTGAAAGTTAGATCAAGATCAGTATGATCCGTACCTTAATTTTGGCGGTAGGTACCAATGCATTTGCGACGGCTTTCCTCAAATTTGGATCCAATTTGAGACAGAAGAGAGACGAAGTAGCCATAGCCATGTCCCATTCTAGTCGAGACAGGAGAGAATATAAAAAGGGCTCTGCGCCTTAAATAGTTATGAGGATGTGAGTTATATAACGATGATAATATTACGACATACCGCTCAATAATCGACGCAAGTCGAAGTTATTTCTACGTTCGAACATTCGACGCAGTTGTTCGGCAGAGACAACACTGAGAATTTGTAGATGTAGGTATTCAAGATGAAATCGGGTCTTCCTTTGCAAGTACACAATGCATTCAATGACGGATATACCCAAGAACATTTTGTACTCACCACTGACTCCGGCTCACCCCATGAAGAGACACAGGCATAATACAGCGGTGAACGAAGTAGGAAGGTGATGCGCATTTTCCCAGCATTTATGCACCGAATCTTATCTCCGTCGTCCAGGAACACAGATATGAGGGCTTGCATCAAGCCAATCATCGAGGTAAAGTTGTCAGAGTCTTCGTCCTGCTGACGACTTTAGAGGATTAGTGGGTGTGTTCGGGCATATACATTCGTACGGGGTATACCTAATGAAGACGGGTTTCCCTGCATCTGTCAATACGAAGTATTGTCGAGGAACATATGGCTCTGTGACTGCCAAAGCGTATTAGGAAAAGCCAGTCTGTGATTCGAATAGGACCTTACGAGAAAGGGACAGTTCATCCATCTCGACTGATCGTCCTCTGTGAGGGGTCCGACGACGGATTGTTTCTAATGTAATAATGAACATGCGGCTTTAAGGCTACAGAGACTCTGCATGATGCTCACCGCCGGAGCCTTCTTGCTCCGTCAAAGTACGTCTCAAATGTTCACGAAGGTTTCTCTTGGTATCTTCATCCGAAGCACTACTCTCCATATGCCCTGAGACCGTGCCCCGCTCACCATCGATAGTTTCCACTTCAACCTCGGGCTCCTGTATGAGGATACCTTCTGCACGCTCCGAGTTCATAGGTGGAGACGATAAACCTTCCATTCGACTAGGGGGAGAGCCAGAGAGTGGTGTTTGCATG